AGTATTGCAGTGGTTTTGGGCCAATAAAAGCCTATTTGTGGTATAACCTTGCTAATACTGTATTATAAACATTTATTTAATCCTGTTTAAACTTGATGTTTAGCGCCGGGACCTACTAATGGGAAAGGTTGTTATCGACGATTACAACCCATTTATCGATACAATGGGTGTTCAGTACAACCAATTGATGTTTAATTTAACAAATGTTTGTCTAATTGTCTAACTTTATGTTCATCTACTTTATATAAGATTTATATTTTAATTAGTTTGTATTATATTTTAGGGTGGCTTTGACCTGTTTTCAGATTACCCGGACACTAAACACTCAAAGCAAATGATTTTGTCATTTTTTGGACACACCATTGAGGACAGGGATGTACTCAACTGTTTTAAAGAAAGGCGATTGAATAGAAGGAAGCCATCATTTATTGAACGTTTTAAGACAATTGGTTTCGTAGTCTATTCACTACTATTTGGTCCAAAGAATCTGATGAAAGCTAAGAAACAATTAATGGATGACAAGAGTTACGATTTGGTGGCAGTTTTGAGGCAATTATCCACCGTTAAAGATACGTGGAAAGGGATGCTGGATAGTTTTCACATAATTTGTGATATATCACTCAAACACCATGGACCAGTCTCTATGGGCTCATCCATGAAACTCATGATTTTGAGAGAGTTTTTGGAAAGTTGTTTGTGTGAGTGTATTATAATACTGAAATCAATTGTAATTAATTATTTAAAATTCATTTGAATAGCAAATAACCCAAACCTGGAGTCGGACTACAATTCACTCATCTCTTCGTGCAGTGATGTGGTGTCGGCTGAAGTGCCCAACAGTTTGCGGGAAATCGCAAAGTCTATCAAAGATAAGCAATCCTTTAGACAATTGACAGATGAGGAGGCGCTACAAGTTTTAGTCAAAGGAAACGACGAGTCGTCAGCAAAATTTAGACAATTTCTTGATATTCATGGTCATAGAGGGTATCGCGAGTTAGACCCCATGTATGACACGTGGAAACTGAATCCCATTCCTTGTGTTCAGACCATTAAAGTAGTTATTAATATATCTAACCATAATGTTTTATTACTGAACACAATTTGAAAACTTTTTATAGGGGCTGTTATCGGGAAATGAAACACAACTTCAACCGAAAGCCGTTAAATCTGTGGATCAAGTGGTGGACGAACTCAAGACACCATTGACTTCAGTGAAGAAACTGTTGCTTAAGAAACTGGTGCTTCCGTGGGCTCAAAGAGGTATCGGATATCGTGAGCTATCAAAGTATTTCTCGGTTTATATGAACGACATATGGAGACAAGGGTTCCGACTATTGGCACAACGAATGGCCGCCGAAGGACTCATCCCTACCGCCGACCACTTCTTCTATCTGACTGTCCCTGAAGTGGAGGCGCTTTGCAATGGCGACAGAAATTCGTTAATACTGTCCAGAGTTAGACACCGGCGCCGGCTTTACCCACAAATGGGTGGATACAAGTTTGAAGAGTTCATTAAAGGGCCGCAAATGAGACCCAGAAATGTATTAAATTTATTAATTGTTAACTATTTTTATGATAAATTAATTGAATATTTTCCAATAGTTTCAAAAACGCATTACTCCTCCAATTCTGAGCACAGGTATGGTTCAGATGAAGGGAACTCCGGTTAGTAACGGAACGGTTAGTGCGAGAGTTTGTGTCTCGGAGGACATTAACGAAGCCCACAATATTCAGGTATTTATTGAATTTTGTTTAATTATTAATTCATTTAATTTATGAAAACAATTGCTTTGATGACTAGTCGGGAGATATACTGATCACATACTCAACAGACATCGGTTGGAGTCCATACTTCCCGTTATTGTCAGGTATTATCACCGAAATCGGTGGAACTGTATCTCACGGAGCGGTTATCGCCAGAGAGTACGGAATTCCGTGTTTAATAGCCGTAGAGGGGGCGTGTAGTGCATTCAAAACGGGTGATACTTGTGTTTTGGACACAACCACACAGACCATCACTAAAGTCCAGTAAACTATTCATAAAATGAATATATTTCAAGTTATCAATTATTTTGTAAATGAACTTTATAAATTTTTATTTATATTAAATATTCTGAAATCATTTGCTATGAAATCAATAAATACTTTCAATTCAAAACACATATTGTCAAATTTAAAGTCCTCTAATTCACTCATAAATATTTCCAGTATAGAGAGGACAGGTATCATAAATAGTTATCTAATGATAATTTATTAATGGATATCCTAATAGCATAATATTCTCATTATTATCTGTATTTGTAATAAACTGTTGGTCGTATATTTTGGACTCATTGTAGGCCATAGTCCCGCACCAACCCGTATAGTACTCGTAATTATTAATTATAAGGTTTTTAGGCAATGATAGTAATTGTGGCCAAAATATTTCAGCCCTCAGACCCTTCCTCCTGGNAGGTTTTTAGGCAATGATAGTAATTGTGGCCAAAATATTTCAGCCCTCAGACCCTTCCTCCTGGTCTTCTCATCCAGTTTTCGGATCAGTTCTTCACTTCTCTTCCAACAGAAACTGAACTCAAACCGATTGTCCGGTGATCTCATGGCCCGACACTGCAGTGTATTGAGTGCTAACTCAGTCACAGTTACCCCACATTTGAGGTCTAATACACGAAGAAGTGGACAGTTGTTAACAACAGCACAGATCCCGGTGTCCGATATGTCAGTCATAGAGAATGGTTTAGAGAATATTCTTAACACTCGTATTGATTGTAGTTTTGATAATGAAAACAATGTTTCATTTGTCAGCGTTTGCTGTGTTTTCAGTACTAATCGTTGTATTAGTGGACAGTAGTGTTGAATGTCTCGCATGTGTTCATCATTTAAATTCTTGTATATAATCTGGAGTACAGTCAAGCTTTTCATAGACTTTAATGACTCCAATGTTCCCAACGCTATGGCCGGGGATCTGATTTGTATATTCAGAGACTCAATATAAATAAGAGTTGATAGACTTGAGAGGATAGGACCACATCTGATATTATCTCTGATTTCTAGTGATAATGACTTCAATTGCAGACAATTATCTGACAATAATTTGGAGGCAAAACTCAAGTCCATATTTAATACTTCATTGGATTCCAGTATTACTTTTAATGTCTTCAGTCTATGAAAACGTGAAATGGCTTCAAATGTTTCAATGAATTGTGTGAAATTTGCAGTAAATTTCAACTCCAATTGCAATGAAGTGATTGAATTCTTGTATTTATCAACCATTTGTTGAAATAATGATGAACTGAATCTGGAGTCCAAACAAATACTAAAATTCTTGAGTACTGCATAAAGTTGCTGTTGTTTTATAAGGTAATGTAGAAATATTTCTATTATTTGAATAAAAATCAAAATTTAAATTTTTACCTAAATAATTAAACTAATATTACTGTAATTAAAATTATTACCTGAGTTAAAACTGTCCTGATCACATTTTCTTATTGTAATAGTTTCCAGATTTTTGCCGCAATTGTGGGCAAATTCTCTCCAAATATATTCGGGAATATTCTGCGAGTTATGATCAAAACGACAGTCAATTTCATACAATTGATGGCAATTCTGTGCAATCATTTGCAGTACTCGTTGGTCACAAACCGACCAAACTTTTAATTTATGCAAATAATTACATTTTCTTAACACTTGTTCAGATATTTGCTGTTTAAGACCCGGAGCCTTATACATGTATGTCCTGTGAAGGCTCCAGAATGGATGTGACATTTGGTGGACACTGCTGTATATGAATCGGTGCCACTGTTTGCTCACACACTCCAGTCGTACCCTATCCTCCAGTGGTAGGTATGATAGGATTAGTTCACATAAATCGTCGTCAAAATTAAATGACATTTTTAATCAAACATTAAGTTTTAATAAAATCCTACTACAGTTGTATAATTCACTTAATATTTATTCAGTAAATATAAAATTCAAAATCAATTGACACGTATAATAACAATGTTTTATTTCTAGTATGTGATGCAATGCTATTGCAATCAATATACCCGTAGTTAACACATGAGTGTTTAATAATGTTTTCATACAATTCAATGACAACCGTATGTTATATAATAAAATGAAACCATGAATAACATACCACAAAAACTTATTAATTTTTTGTCTTAAGTATAATAATTAAACAGTTTACTTTGTATATTTGTTTATTGCACTTATTGCCCCTACAGTACTGTATACTTAAAATAGGTGTTTGAATAGTGTTTAAAGAAATATAAAATAACATAAATATAAATAAATTATTAAATGATACACGAATAAGTAAATAAAAATAGTTTTTGAATTAAATAAAAAATTTTGCTAATAGTTATTTATAAATTATAGTAATGGCTTATACGGCACTCATAGATAAATTATTTTCAAAAGTATTTGTGCAAATGTATATAATACTAGTAATAAGGAATAAATGAATTGATTGTATGATATAATGTATATGATGAATACCTCATAGTTGTAAAATGCTTGCAAAAACCCTTAAACAGGTAATAATATAATTATTAAAAATTACGGACATATTATGAGGAACTGAAGGGAAAGGGAATGGCATATGGATAGGGTAGTGTGCGATTGTATACGAAGTCCCACGTGAAGTCCACGGGAGGCAACCGCACTCTCATCCGGGTGTTTGGGTCTCTATACGGCGAATGACTCCTATTGTGGACAATCAAATCGGACACCTTTTTCGGGTCCACATCAGTGCCATAAAACCCATAATAGCAATACTTTTTCATATTAGGATCCCTATTTGGCCAACCTTGCACATATGCACATGCACTACCATGGTCATTCACATCATCAGTCTTATTAGTCGTGAATTGCTGCACATATCGACGCCTTTCATCCATAGTATTATCCTTGCGATTAAATCCGCGACAATATATGACTAAATTCTTGGGCAATGATAGCAATTGTGGCCAATATATGTCAGCCCTCGGAGTCTTCAACTCCCGGTCCCCTCGGGTCCGATCCCTTTGTTCTTGAGTCATAGGACTCCATATGAATTCCAACCATAACTCAAACGGACTGTTCGGTGATCTCATGGCCCGACATATCACTGTATTGATTATTAATTCAGTCACAGGTATCTCACATTTCAGGTATAAGACCCGTAGTGGTGGACAGTTGTTTATAAGGGCACATAAACCCGTGTCTGTAAATCCAGCCGAAATATAAGGTTTCATGAATATTCTTAACACTCGTATTGATTGCAACTTTGATAATGAATTCAACGTTTGATTTGTGAGCCGTTGTTGTGTTTTCACTACTAATTGACGTATTAGTGGACAGTAGTGTTGAATATCTTGAATGTGGCCGTCACTCAAGTCCTTGTAAAGGATGTGGAGGTCTGTCAAGTGTTTCATAGACTCCAATGACTTGCATTGTCCCAACACTATAGCCGCGGATCTGATTTGTATGTTCAGTGATTTCACATTATTAAGAGACTGGAGACTTGAGAGCACCGACAGCTCGTTAGATCTGATATGATCTCTCATTTCTAGTGATAATGACTTCAATTGCAGACAATTATCGGTCAATAATTTGGCGGCAAAATTCAAGTCCACATTAAATGCTTCATAGGATTCCAGTATTACTTTCAAAGCTCTTAGTCTATGAAAGCGAGAAATAGCTTTAAATGTTTCACGAAATTGTGTGTAATTTGGATTAAAATTCAACTCCAATTGCAATGAAATGATTGAATCCTTATATTTGTCAACAAATTCTCGAAACAAATTGAAAGACATATCGAAATCAATAGCAATACTAATATTCCTGAGCCTTCCATATATGGGCTGATATTTGATGAGATGTGATAGGAATTGATCTGGATTCAATATACAAATAATTAAGTGTTAATAAAAGGCAATAGATTTGCTAATAAATAGCCTAATAGTAAATCACTTATTAAGTTAATACTATATGATACCGGTAGTAAAAAAATGTTAAGGTAACTAGTAGTTACTAACTACTTTACCTGGCTTATAAGCATTATTGCTAAATTTTCTAATTGTAATGGTTTCCAGATTTTTGCCGCAATTGTGGGCAAACTCTTTCCAAATATATTCGGGAATATTCTGATAGTTGTAATCAAAACGACAGTCAATTTCATACAATTGATGGCAATTCTGTGCAATCATTTGCAGTACTCTTTGGTCACAAACCGACCAAACCTTCAATGAGTGAATGAATTGACATTTTGTGAGTATTGAGACTGAGATCCGGTTTATATCCCAATGACGACACCTCTCATGACTGATGACTGACCCTCTCGGCAGCGGTAATGAAAACTTGTGGACACTTCGGTATATTAATTGATGCCATTGTTTGCTCACACACTCCAACCTAACCCTGTCCTCAATGGACAGGTAGGACAGTATGAGTTCGCACAAGTCGTCGTTCAAATCAAATGACATTTTCTGTAATTCATAAGCAATATGATAATTAATTAAATCAACTTGTTACACAATTTATAATCATAAAACTAAATAATGACTGCATAGTATGGCTTATTTTGGTGCAACTGCGTCTACTAATATAGCTTTAGTGAGCTATTAATGTCATATAAATTGTGAACTCAATTGAAAATATGACAAATACAGTCAATTATAAACATACGTTGAGTAACTAATGAATTGAGCTAATTATAGCAATCAACTCAAATAATGAGTTTGACAGGTGTCAATAAAAAGTAACAAAAAACATTGTCTGCAAACTGCAAGCAAACAATAAACAAATAATATGCTTGCTTATTTTGTTGTACATATGATGGCGCTATAGTACCCATTACTCACACAAAATTCCTATTAATTATTAACCGTAAAAATTATATAAACTTTGTTACTGTAATTATAGTGTAATGTTACAGGGTAATTGAAATTTTTAAATGTACTGCATAAATAACATATTTAACAACATCATTATATTTTAAAATTTAAATCCCATTTATATATCTAAAGTTTTTATGTTTGAAAAACTTTTGTGTTTAACTTTTATAACATTTTAGTTTTCAGTATTTAAAAAAAATGATTATATTTTGATGTGAAATAAAGTATGTAGTGAACTGTAGTCCACTACTCAATGCAATGTCCAGTAGTTTTGAATACAATTGCTTTTATATCAATGTTTGACCCATATATGGGTCAATACTTAAGACAATGTTTAAGTGAAAGTTTATGACATTTGTGGCTATTTTTGGATACAATTTCAGTATTGAAAGCAATTTCTATTGAAATTAAGTTTAAAATAAAAATAATTAAATTAACATTAATTTTCAAATAGATATAAATAAAGTAATTCTCGGAATACTTTACATAAACCTAATTTAGATTTTACGCCAATTTATCAAAATAAGCTTCAGTGAATTTTATAAATTAGTGCCTGTTTATTTTATTAGTAGAATTGTTTTAATTTACTATAACTATATAAGAATTATACAGTAATCAGAAAATACTGGTCCCTTTCCGTATATTAATAGTTTTAGTCTTTGCAAAATTCTGATATTTATACTAGGTCACATAAACATAAACTTATAAATATAAAAGTATTCTCAAAAAACAAGTAGCACTAAATAATATAAAAATGTTTCATATTTATTCTGTATTAAAATATTTATAGTTTTGATATTACGTTACAAATAAAACCACCAAATCCTGGATCCATTAGCCATACCCTCTCCTCCCTTATCCCTGCAATGGATAACAGTTTTCTCAATACTATTGCAGAGACAAGAGATTCACGACTCGTTTGCGAACCAAATACTGGTTAACAATAC